TCGGGGAAACCTTGGATACACGTCAGAATCAAATTAAAAATAGATTTTATTTTCGTTTTCGATCGAATTTATGTCTGACTGCTGTCTGCGCCCTCAATATTGATAGCTTTACCCTTTTGTGTTTCGAGGTAATTACAGTTCACTTGCGTCTAGTAATCGGAAAAGGAACGAAAATGACCAAGTGCCTTGGATCGCTTCCAACGGGGGTGCATATTTAAAGACATCGATTTTCGTATAAAAACGGCCGAAACAACTTTGACGTAACCCGACGAAACGAACGGAAGAGTTGCAGTTTTCTGAACGATGTCCGAAGGTATCGATTTTGGTCGTACGTCAAACCACCATAATTAACCTCCATCGAACGTGGTGATAATGACACCCGCGTGACGCAAACGGGTGGATGCCTTTTATACTCCATTCTGGAGAGTAATTAACTTTGCGTGACTTGTCGCATATGCGAATTGCAGCTGCTGCAGGTTTGTTGCAATGCCATAATACGAATTTGGGAGACTTAGAGAAGCAAAATTGGGGCATTTTCTAAAATGACTACGGAAGGTACTTTTAGTTGTGAGATCTAAAAGTTCCAAGTGATGGATTAGGTTTTAGGTACCTAATTCCATACCCTCAGACATAATTCTTTCTGAGGGAGAGCCATCGAATTAGACTCGCTAGGAAAAGAAAATCCGGTGTTTCTCTCTCAAAGATGATCACAAGCGTAGTTAAGGCGCTTTCGTCGTAAGAAATGTAGGCCTGAGGGATGGAGTTCCCCAAGGAAAAGGAAAAATGCGACTGTCTTCCTTCACAAATGATGAAAGAACAACGTAATACGTTGAAAGGTGGGGAAGGGGTTTAATGGAATATCCTACAGGATCGGAAAAAGTTCTCCCTCAGAATCTGAAACCTCTATCCTTTTTTTCCTGGGAGGTAGAGAAATGCGACTGTCTTAAATTAATTTTTAACCCCCCTCCCCCTCAGGGCCCGTCGCTCACTGACCTCGAAAAAAAGTCGCACGGGAAAGTTATAGTTTGTACAAACCAATTTATTTCGATGAGACCTTTAATTAGAATACCATGAAGGGTGTTGTGTTGACCCCCCCCCCCCTTGTCGTATGTAAAAGTTATGCACGTTTTACTTTCAAAAACAGCATCTCAGGAAATAATTCGTGGGGAGGGGGGGGGGGGCTTTTGGACAGAAAATTTGATGGCCGTCTGGCACACCTTCAAAGGTATAGGCTACCTACTGCATTCCAGGACTCTAGAACCATTCCCCTAGAAGTAGTTCAAAACGGCAGAAGAACCCCAGAATCTGAAACCTCTCTGAAATCTCTATCCGTTTTTCCTGGGGGGTATTGGGGGATTAACCCTCCCACCCAACAATGTAAATGGTGAAAGAACAAGGTAATGTGCTGGGGCGAGAAGGATGAATGGATCGAATAATCCAGTGGCACCCCACTTACCTTTCGATGTAGTTCTACCGCAGAATCTGAAACCTCTATTCTTTTTTCCTTGGAGGTAATCCATACCCCCCACACTGCTCGGTGCTACGTCTGGGAGAATTGAATCCCCCCCCCCTCCACGCCAGGAAAAAGAGAACTGTCGGTAGAACGACGTAATGTGTTGGGGGGGGGGAGGCGAATATCCTCCAGAATCGGAATACCCAGTGGTACCCCACATACACTTGAAACTTTCCTCTTTCTTTTTGCCTTTTCCCCCAGACCCCCCAGTCATGAACGTTTTGGAAAGGAACTAAGACCCTTTTTTTCTGGGAGGTAGAGAAATGTGACTGTCTTAAATTAATTTTTAACCCCCTCACTGACCTCGAAAAAAAGTCGCACGGGAAAGTTATAGTTTGTACAAACCAATTTATTTCGATGAGACTTTTAACTAGAATACCATGAAGGGTGTTGTGTTGACCCCCCCCTTTTCTAAAGTTTAACTTGACGCCACTAAAGGCATGCGTATGCAAAATCTGAGACCAATTGGTTGTCGTATGTAAAAGTTATGCACGTTTTACTTTCAAAAACAGCATCTCAGGAAATAATTCGTGAGGAGGGGGGAGGGGGGGGGCTTTTAGACAGAAAATTTGATGGCCGTCTGGCACATCTTCAAGGTATAGGCTACCTACTGCATTCCAGGACTCTAGAACCATTCCCCTAGAAGTAGTTCAAAACTGCAGAAGTGGGTCCGGACGGACGAACAAAACGCAAGTAATAGCAAATTTTTTTTATTCTTTCGTTTTGGAGAAAGACGTAGAACCGAGGTCTGAGGGGTAAGGAATACCCCCAGGAAAAAGAAAATTGCGACTGTCTTCCTTCAGAAATGATGAAAGGTCAACGTAATACGTTGGGGGAGGGGGTGAGTGTAATATCCTGCAGGGTCGGAAAATCCAATGGTACCCCCCAGGACCTGAGACCTCTATCCCTGTTTTGTCCGGGGTGTTTTCCTCAAAGGTTCAGCTATGCAGAATCTGTAAAAAAATATGGTGTAAATACTATTCTACCCCAGAATCTGAAACCTCTATCCTTTTTTCCTGGGGGGTATTGAACCCCCCCCCCCCCCCAACCAGGAAAAGGAGAAATGCAACTCTCTTGTAAATGGTGAAAGAACAAGGTGTTGGTGTTGGGGGAAGGGGGGGGGGTGAATGGAGTATCCTACAAGATTGGAAAATCCAGTGGTACCCCACATACCGAACGTTTTGGGGAAAAACGTAGAATCGGAGGATCCGGGGGGAATACCTCCAGGAAATAAACAAAGAATCTTTACGGAAGAATGTAAAACCAGGGGATGTGGAGATTATGGAATCTCTCTAGGAAAAGGAGCAAGAAATGCGACTTCCTTAAGAAATGATGAAGTAACACCGTAATACATTGGGAAAGAGGGATGAGTGGAATATCGTACAAGATCGGAAAATCCAGTGGTACACCATACTTCCCTATAAAGTTCTCCCCCAGAACCTGAAACCTCGCCCTATTTCCATTGGAGGATATGAAATCCCCCCTCTCAGGAAAAATTCAACTGTCTTCCTTCAGAAATGATACGTTGGGGGGAGAGGGATGGGAATATCCTAAAGGATCGCAAAATTCAATGGTGCCCCACATAGCTTTCTATGATGTCCAGACCCCTAGGAAAGAGACATAGAATCATCACGGAAGACTGTAGAACCCGGGGGTCTGGGGGCTATGGAATTCCCCCAGGAAGATATGCTGCTGTCTTCTGTCAGAAATGATGGAACAACGTAATACGTGTGGGGGAGGGGGTTTAATAGAATATCCTACAGGATCGCAAAATACAATGATAACACCACGTACCTTTCAAATCCTCCACAAATCATGAATGGACTATCTCACAGGATCGGAGAATCACCTCTCGGTGAAGTTCTCCACCAAAACCTGAAGCAACTGTTCCTTTCCTGGGGGATATTTCACGGATACATCGGATTTTTCCCATTGTTTGCTTCGTATTCTTCGGGTTCTTTTGATCCCTCGGGTTCTTTTTTCGAATTCTACACGTTCTCTGTACTTATTTCATTTTTTGAATTCTTTGATCTATCGTATAGTTCGGTTTCATTGTATCCTTCAAATTCTTCGGATTCTTTAGGTTCGTGGGATTCTACGGAATCCTCGGATTCTTCGAATCGTTCAAATCCTCCATATCCTTCAAATGCCTCAGATCCATCAGGAATAGATATCCCACAGGATCCAAAAATGCAATGTTGCTCCACGTGCCTATCCACGAAGTTCTCTCCCAGAACCTAAATCTCTCTTTTTTTTCTGAGATATATTCCAGACCCTCCCGGTGCTGCGTGCTTCCCCAAAACGTGTGCAATCCCCACCATTTACATGGTCCTCTTTGAATATCCCTTTTGGGAAAATAATTCCGTTGCTCACTGAAAAGTCGTCATAAGGATGGCGAAGGCTGAACGGATTTAGTAATGAAAGTAGGTGAGGAGGGGGGGGGGGAATATCTTTCTTCAGGAAAGAAACCTGAAACCTCTCTTCCTTTTTGCTGAGGGGTTACCAGACCCAAAGCGCATGCAGCCCCCCACCACACACACAGACATGCTGTTGCAGAAACGTTTGAATGAAAAATGTAGCACTGGGGGTCTCGGAGTGGGGGGGGGGGGGTTTGGAATATGCCTTAGCAAGAAAACAGCAATTGTCTTTCCTTCACAAATGCAGGGAATTTTTCAAATACTCATCCACATTTCTAGAATCCCCCCCCCCCTCGCGCTTGTGTGTCGATAAGTGCTTGTATTTGCCAGGAGGCCGGCCCCAGCCTAGTAAGTGTTCACTTTCTGCGTTTAAGGGCCGGATTGCACTTCGTGACTTCGTAACTTCGCCAATTGTTCATTTTCTTCGCTTTTGTTTTACACCCCCTACTCAACCTCCCCATTGCTAATAATTATTTATGAAACGGTGCCAGGATCTTTTTCTACGGCTTTCAGGAAACTGTGTCACCCGAAATTAATAAACTTGTAGCGATATCTTATTCTGTGCGGACGAACTGAAAATGTCAAAAGTTTTTTAGGGGCGACAGTCACGCGACCAGAAAATTAAATTTAAAAAATCGACTCGCGTGTCTCTGCCTCGAAAGGCCCAAATATTTTCACGGTGGCGGTTTACACGAAGGGGCGGCAGTAGGAGCGGGACGCGCCGTCGCGACGCTTTTATTGAACGCTTACGTCGCAAGGCGCGGCGTCGGAACGTGTTTTAGCAAACCATCTTCGTACGGCCGCCGGGCCGCCGGTGTTTTTGATGCATATTTTTATTTTTGGATGAACTTTATACGCCCCTTTGGCAATTATATTTCGGGGGGAGAATGATCTTTTTGAGAATTTTTACAAGTTTGAATCGCCGCACCTGTTGAGATGAGTTAGGGCGATTAAGGATGCCTTTGTGCTTCAGACTGCCCTGCATGGTAAGCGCGCATTGATTTCCACTTGTAGGGTGGCTATAGTGTTAAGTGACGTCACATTCTAATTACGTAATAATATTGTTGCAGTCCGACGGCAATACGTCCTTTCTGCGCGCGGCGCGTGCTGGTCACCTCGACAAGGTCCTCGAGCATCTCAAGCAGAACATCGACATCAACACTAGCAATGCGGTAAGCTTTTGGGGTTTATATCTTAAGGGCCGTTTTGCGACGATGATGCCTTACAGAATGGGCTTAACGCGCTGCACCTGGCGTCGAAGGATGGCCACGTGCAGGTGGTCGAGGAGTTGCTGAAACGTGGGGCGGCCGTCGATTCGGCCACGAAAAAGGGCAACACAGCGCTTCATATCGCTTCCCTAGCCGGACAAGAAGATGTAGTTAGATTACTTGTCCATCACGGCGCTTCTGTTAACGTCCAAAGTCAAAATGGATTCACGCCGCTTTATATGGCCGCTCAAGAAAACCACGACAACGTCGTCAAGTACCTTCTGGCGAATGGCGCCAATCAAAGCTTAGCGACGGAGGTAAGCACCGACTCGATCGCCCCCTCTGCGATATTTCCATAACTGATTCTATTTTGACAAACGCAATTGTCATTGGTTCTCTCCTCCCCGTTTTAAAATTTCTTTACATTTATCATGAAATCCTTATGCGTTCCATTAAGATTAAGGGTGGGGGAGGGGGTAATATATACTCCCAGGGGGCCCCCTCCCCATTTTAAACATTTTTGTAGTTATTCTGGGAACCATTAAGCGCTCACTTTGAACAAATAGGACCTCCTCTCTCAAAAAGTTTACTCCCCCCGCGCCCGTGCTGTTTTTCTTCAAAATACCAACGGAACTCATCACTATTTACCCCCATGTCCCAGCAGTGCTACGTCTTATTTCCAAGCGTTCACTGTGTGCAGCATCTTTTTATGATCACTCTGTAGGAGTTGATCACTTTCCTCTTCTCCTAGGGGTACTTTACCCTCCCTCCAGACCCACGGTGCTAAGAGTTCAATGAGGTCTTGACGAAAACTGTTATGAGAATAATTCTCTAAACGTCTTGTGGCGGAACGTATAGTTGGTGCGGTTTTATATTCTTCCCCAAAATACTTAATACCCTTACTACATATGTCATAATTTTTGGAAAAGTTTTAAGGGCTGGCCGTTTTGAGGTATGGAATACCACCCAGTACAGAATTTTTTTTCACGTCTTAATAGCAAATCTCTGTTTTCCCAGGTCCAAAAACAACTAAACCCTCCGAACTCTCGTGGTTATTTTTTACAATAGATCTTCGCCTCCATAGGGGTATTCTATAGCCCCCCAGACCCTTCGGTGTTGTATTTCCCAAAACGTTTCGTACACTTACCACTTACACATCTTTTTTGGGAAATAGTCTTGAAGGGCCGAACGTTCTGAAGTAGAACGCACCACCGGGGGGCCTGGGGGGTATGGAAAACCCCCCAGCCATACCCACCAGTATCGAAGTTTTTACAAGAAACAATATCAAATCTCTCGTTTCATCATACCCCCCCCCCCAGGCCATACTCTCCAGTACAGAAGGTGTTACGATAAACTTAATATCAAAGCTCGCGTTTTGGGGGGAGGGGGGGGATTCCATACTCCCCAGATCCCCGGCGTCGTATTTCTCAAAATGTTTAGTACACTTACCACTTATACCATAATGTTTGGGAAAAGTCTTTAAGACCTGAACGTTTTGAAATAGAACGCTCCACCGGTGGGTTTGAGAGGTATGATATCCCCCCCCCCCCTCCCAAGCGATATATCCTCTAGTACAGAAGGTTTTACGATTAACGTAATATCAAATCTCTCGTTTCCTGGGGGGTATGATACCCTTAGGCTATACTCTCCAGTACAGAAGGTGTTACCATAAACTTTATATTAAAGCTCGCGTTTTCGGGGGGGGGGGTATTCGATACTCCCCAGACCCTCCGTGTTGTATTTCTCAAAATATTTAGCACACTTACCACTTAGACTATCATTTCTGGGAAAAGATCCTTAGGGGATGAATGGTTTGAAGTATGTAACGCACCACCGGGAGGTCTGGGGGTATTCCCAGCCATACTCTCCAGTATAGAAAGTATTACAATCAATTTAATATCAAAACTCTCTTTCCTGGGGGTTATGATACCCCCCAGGCCATACTCTGCACTACAGAAGGTTTTACAATAAACTTAATATCAATTATTTCGTTTCCTGGGGGTATTCCATACCCCCCAGACCCCCCGGTTTGTATTTCACCAAATCTGTAGTACACATCACTTACACCATCATTTTTGGGAAAAAGTCCTTAAGGCCTGAACGTTTTGAAATAGAACGCCCCATCGGGGGTTTGAGAGGTGTGGAATCCCCCCCTCCCCCAGCCATACTCTCCAGTACAGAAGGTTTTACGATAAACTTAATATCAATTACTTCGTTTCCGATGGTCTTTGCTTTTCTATTTGCTACTCCGCCCCCTCCCCCCCTGTTGGTTAGCCTTCCGTGCTTTTAATGATCATTCTGTAAGGAAGTCCAATTCCTCTTTTCTGGAAGAAACATTCCATTCCTTTAAAGGTGCGAACTGAATTAACCCCCCCTCCCTCGAACACCTAACTTGTTAAAATGGCGCAAAAACCAACAATAATGTGGTGGTATAGCGAAAGGCCAAACACCAAAGTGCACGCTTGGAGATGTAAAGAAATAATGTTTAATTGATGGGGAGGGGGGCAGAAACTGGTCCCACCTCAATACAATTGCGATTATCTAAATCATTGAAAGAGTTGGGGTGTGGGGTAGAATGTTTACCGACCATAACCTCTACATTTTGCTCCCACTTAGGATGGCTTTACACCTTTGGCGGTGGCCATGCAACAAGGTCACGATAAGGTGGTGACGGTGCTCTTGGAGAACGACACCAGAGGAAAAGTGAGGCTTCCCGCGCTCCACATCGCCGCAAAGAAGGATGACGTGAAGGCGGCCAAATTACTCTTAGAAGTAAGCATCGAATCACGCACGATCGGAGTTCATCGTCTCTTTCCAGAACGAACACAATCCGGATGTCACCTCAAAGTCCGGATTTACACCCCTCCACATAGCGTCCCATTACGGGAACGAATCCATAGCAAATTTACTTGTACAGAAAGGCGCAGATGTGAACTACTCCGCCAAACATAATATATCACCCCTGCACGTAGCGGCGAAATGGGGCAAAACGAATATGGTGGCCTTGTTATTAGATAGAGGGGCGTACATTGAGTCGAAGACGCGCGATGGACTGACACCTCTCCACTGCGCGGCGCGTAGCGGCCACGAGAAAGTTGTAGATATGCTCCTAGAGCGTAGCGCACCAATTAGTTCTAAGACTAAGGTGAGGCGGTGGGTGTGTGTCTATGGTATTTTTGACGGTTGGGGATTTTAGAACGGCCTGGCACCACTGCACATGGCGGCGCAAGGTGATCACGTCGACGCTGCACGCATTCTTCTTTACCACCGTGCACCAGTCGACGAGGTTACCGTTGACTATCTGACAGCCCTCCACGTCGCCGCCCACTGCGGTCACGCGAGGGTTGCCAAGCTTCTGCTGGACCGAGGGGCGGACGCAAACGCGCGTGCGCTTAACGGTTTCACCCCTCTTCACATCGCTTGCAAGAAGAATCGCATTAAAGTCGTCGAGCTACTTCTGAAGCACGGCGCAAGTAAGTCTAGAGCCTTTCGAGTGGGTCCGGGTTAACCAATTTACGGCAGGTATCGGCGCGACTACCGAAAGTGGGCTGACTCCGCTCCACGTTGCCAGTTTTATGGGATGCATGAATATTGTGATCTACCTTTTGCAACACGAGGCGAATCCGGACGTTCCGACGGTGCGCGGAGAGACCCCTCTGCATCTGGCAGCGAGAGCGAATCAGGTAAGCGCGTTTTGCATCAGGTAGGCGTGGTCTAATTGCTGTGTTGCCAGACGGATATAATTCGAATTTTGCTGCGGAACGGCGCCAACGTCGACGCGCGCGCTCGCGAGCAGCAGACACCTCTGCATATCGCCTCGCGCCTAGGAAACGTAGACATTGTGATGCTGCTCTTGCAGCACGGGGCCAAGGTAGATACGACAACGAAAGATATGTACACCGCGCTCCATATCGCTGCCAAGGAGGGGCAAGACGAGGTAATAATACTCACTTCCAGAAGATTGCTAGCTCACATTGCCCAAACGTATATAATTGATGTATTTTGGATGAGAAACCAAGAATTTCTTGTCTAATCTAATCGCTCACTTTGTAGGTACTCCCTTTCTTCATTTCTTCTTCTTCCCCTGTGTGTGTAAATAAAACTGTTCGTTGCACTCTTGTCTTTGTTTTCACTGAAAGGGAAAATCTATGCATCTCACTTCTCTGAATCCTAGCACTCTATCATTTCTCCTCCCTCACTGTGTATGTATCCAAAATTAGGGTATCCGCTCAGCATAAAACGTATAGCAAAATTGGTGCCAAATTTTGATATACGTTTTGTGCTCTTTTTGGGTACATTCACTATGCGCATGTCTCTTAGACTAAGTTTGGACTTCACCAGGTGGCGGCTGCTCTATTAGACAACGGGGCTTCTTTAAACGCGACAACCAAAAAAGGTTTTACGCCACTCCACCTGGCGGCGAAATACGGAAATATAAAGGTAGCAAAGCTGCTTCTTCAAAAAGAAGCGCCGGTTGACTCGCAGGGTAAAAACGGCGTGACGCCTCTTCACGTAGCCTCCCACTACGACCACCAAAACGTCGCCCTTCTGCTACTCGACAAGGGCGCGTCGCCGCACGCGATTGCGAAAAACGGACACACTCCCTTGCACATAGCGGCCCGAAAGAATCAGATGGATATCGCGAACACGCTGCTGGAGTACGGCGCCCAACCGAGCGCCGAAAGTAAGGCGGGTTTCACTCCGCTTCACTTGAGCGCCCAAGAGGGCCACACCGACATGACGTCGCTTCTACTCGAACACAACGCCGATGTAAACCACCAAGCGAAAAACGGACTGACCCCGCTCCACCTCTGCGCGCAAGAAGATCGGGTCCCCGTCGCCGAAATCCTACTGAAGAACGGCGGCGAAGTCGACGCCCAAACCAAAGGCGGCTACACACCGCTCCACGTCGCTTGCCACTACGGCCAGTCGAACATGGTCAAATTCCTCCTCGGCAACGGGGCCAACGTCAAATCCACCACGTCAATCGGCTACACGCCACTCCACCAGGCCGCCCAACAGGGCCACACGAACATCGTCAACATCCTCCTGGAAAACTCGGCGCAACCGAACGCCGTCACGACGGTAAGTCCCCCACCCCCTGCACTCGACCCTCACGCCTCGGTTTCAGAACGGCCAGACCCCCCTCAACATCGCCCAGAAGCAGGGCTACATCAGCGTGATCGACACCCTCAAGGTCGTCACCGAAACGCCCGCCGGCAGCCCCAACGTCGGCGAGGAAAAGTACCGTGTCGTCGCGCCCGAAGCGATGCAGGAGACCTTCATGTCCGATTCCGAGGAGGAGGGAGGTAGGTGCCCGAAACACACCCGCTAGCCGCTCACATCGCGCTTCTTTCAATCATAACGTGCGCATTATTTTTGGTCGACCCACGAGTCCCTCTTTAAAAAAGTTAGGTCAGCGTTTAGGCGTTTTCAATTATTAAATAATCGAAAACGTGGGAATTAATCTAAAGCGCAATTTTCCTCACACAAACGCAAATGTGTACCTACAGACTCAACATTTGTGGAATTTTTGCTCGCGCTAACCAGTCGAGGATGTTATGGACGGATATGGTCAGGCGCCTCACGAGCAGCACGTCTATCTGCCGTATTTCAACGGCACGTCCCTTCTGAGCCGTAAGTTTTGCGCACAGGTTCATTTTTCCATCGATTTTTTTCATCTCATTCTTTTGATTTTTGTTGCAAAGCGTAGGTACTGAACGAACTAGTGAGCTTTTAGTGATTTTGTGTGGCTTCAAAACCGAAATTAGTGTGTGCGTGTGGATGCTCGTCCATGTCCATGTGAGTACTACTTTATTTGGCCATTTAGTCAAAAGTCCAAAATCCTAGCTCCTCCTAAAGGAAATTTATAAAAATTGAACCCTCAGCGTTCTAGATTTTGATTTTGGACTTGACCAGGTTCAAAACATACGCGTTTTCATATTGTGCAAAATTTTGGTCCCCGTGCGAGGTTAACACTTTGGTTTCGAGACTTAATTTGATTTTATAAAAAAGTTCGAGGCTTGAAGTCGTCGGGGGCAACAATTACTGCAATGCAGTCATTACCGAGCAAGCCGAAGGCTAAAACGTAGTCGTGCCGTTGTGCCTCCTTTTTAACAAACTGGGATCGGATTATGCCGAACTCGCCTTCGGCTGGCTCAGTAATGACGTGTTTTATGTATCAATTTCTTCAATGGAGCGATCAGAAGCCGAGTTCGGCACAAGCTGCACATCGCCGTGCTGTTGTGCCTTTTTATAAACAAAATGAGGTCGGATTGTGCTGAACTC